AATGGTCACTGGGCCTAAATGCAATACACTGTTATACTTACACGATAGCGTCCAATTATTAGTGAACATTTATCAAGAAAGCTTATTTCGCACAGCTGATTCCCCAAGATCCGTAGCTGATTTACAACTCGCATAAGCGCAAATCGAATCCATCCATTGCGAAAATGATCGTACGCGGAATTTCAGTAGCATTCTCAGAGTAGAATCTATTTTACGTAAACCATGTTTAAAATTTGCATACTTAATCGACTGCCGATAAACATAAGTAAAGCCAATGCTAGCAGTAGTAAGTCTCCCTGATAATTTTATTTGAATGAAGATAGTACGAATTAAAAGGAACTTTTATTCTTATTTTATATCTTATTTATTATTATTTCAAATGTATTTGTTTTATGTATATTATTATAATAACTTTATATCTTAACAGTTTACAATATCAATTTTATTTGTTTTTATTAAAATTTCTTTTATATATATATATATAATATGCATATTAGACAATATATTTTCTGTTATAAAATTGTATCTCGAATATGTGTGTGCAAATGCAATGTTCAGGTTCCCAAATATTCCAATAATGCAGCCTGACATTCGGTGCCGAGAATTCAATTACAGAAAAAGACACAGAAGGAGACGTCTGCGAGACGTATCTGCCTGGCGGTGTTACCCACTCTTGAATATGCAAACGCTACTCCGTGCGACGTTTAACACGCCAAGAACTCCCCTACGGTCGATCACACCTAGGGTACAAACGGCCTGCAGTGGATGTACCTAAATGCATGTGCAACTTAGGAACGTGTTTCGTGATACAATGGGATTTATTCGACGATAAAGTATACAGTATCCAAGATGGTATCTCGCGAGTATCTTGAAATGAAAATGTTAGAAGAAAATTCATTCACCATGTTTCTTCTTTTAAATTTGATCGTTTTTTTTTACTTATTATTATTTTAAAATGCATTATTTTGTATTTTGCTGTTTCAGACTCCGGAATTTTATAAAGTTATTATTATATTTCTTAATAACATTCCGATTTTATTGAAATTTATATCCACTCTTGGAAGAAGAATAATCAATTTTATTCTATAATTCAAGAATATAATTAAGAAACTATTCGATGTGGGAACATAGAACATCCTTGCCTTCGTGTCGCAGAATTAATTGTTCTCCTTCCAATGAGAAGTAGGAAATTACTATTCAAATTAAGATCTCATGCTGAATATGTCTTATTATTTGTAGTAGGAGGAGAAGAGAGTGTACAAATGGTAATTTACACACATGCTACACAATAAATTAGCATCTAGACAGCATTAAATATAAACACGTGTAAAATAATCAGCTGCTCAAAAAGAATTTTTCGAAACTGATTATTACATGTCATTGATTTTTAATACACAGTGAGAAAAATAACTTTTAAAGCCGTAGTATAAATATTAAAAAAATTAAATCTTGAATAATATATATTTTAACAAACAATTTTATTTATTCTTTTAAAAATTCTTCAAAAATTAAGTTTTATAAAACTTTAAAACATTTTTGAAAAACTTACCTAAATTTTATCTATAAGTTTATTTGTAACAGTGTAATGAGTTCTTACAACTAAATTGTTTCGCGGTAATTTGATTTACGTAAAAGCATTGCGTTTATTATTTCCAACTCGTAGATTATTGATTATTTAGATATTTTAATTGCAACAAATTTTTTGTCAAGTTGTTAGTAAATCTAATGTTAACATTGACGGTTTTTTGGAACACCTTGTACTCTCCTGTGAGTGTCTAAGAAATATCTTTCGAGGGTGGTGTCAAGGAACTTGCGTGGGAGGAAGGGCGGGTTGTAAAAGTGCTCGTAATCGTTCTGTCTGTATCTAACCGCACACGCGATCCATAGATTAAAATTAACAACTGCTCTGGCATATATTGATTGCACGCTCACCTTGACACCGAGCGGGAGGTTCGTTCCTCCAAGTTAGCAACGATGGTCACACGCGAAGGTGCAGAGAACCTCGGTAATATCTCCCTCTCTCGACATTGAACCTGCTCGCGTAAATACCGAAATTAGCCACTGTTCATCGGAAAATAGGATCGTTGTTTCAGTATGTAACGCGACCTCGTAACAATCTCTTCGAGTGAGCTTAAACTAAAAGTCTAGTATGACTCATTGTCAAGATCCAAATTCAGACAGTCTTTCAGTAATCCCTCGATTAATTCTAACTTTGTGGTTAATGTACGTTTAAAATTATGCTAAGAAATATGGAAATGTGACAAAATTACAAACGTATTCATAAAAAAGCTTAAATTTTAATTTTTCTTATAATTTTTGCAGAAGTAAGTCAAGTGAGGCTTATTGAGTAAAAAAGAATGATTGAACAGAGAATAGAAAATGTATACATATACATTTTTTTTTAAACATAAATTTAACAAATAAATTATTGCTCATTATATTAATTAAATTAAATTAATTCTTCATATATATTGTCAGAATTTTATAATAACTTTTATATAACAAAATAAAAACATATAAGCTGTATATAATAATATAATATATTATAGGACCGTATATGTGATAAAATTATAGAAATCAAAACCTTAAACGGTCTAGCTGGATCTTAATGCTTGTATGATTCTTATGTGAATTTATATACTACGTATGTCCCCAGAAATACGCGCCGAAATGATTTTTCGGTCTTGAAACGCTAACTCTATTAAACTACCGCAATAATATCACGAGTTAAATTGACTGGCAATTTAACAAATTTTTAATGCTTATTCGCATCTTCGAAACGATCTTAATAATGATGAATAACATATTAACTGTACATAATATATACATAATGAAATATATTGTATTAAATAATATTTATGTAAAAGAGTTTAGATAAAAAACATTAAACAATAAAATGGGAAAATATCTGAATATGTCTTATTAACAATGTAGTAAGAGAAAATATACAAATATATAATAACTTGCCTTCTATAATATGTTTTATTGTGCACATATTATGCATATCTTATATACTTATTTTATTATACAAAAGACATTAAAATCTTATCATTATAAAGGATCGCTATAAATATGTAACGACTGTACTATCTCTTAAATCCCTCGATCCTCTTTGACAGTTGCACTTAGGGGAGCAATATCATCATTTCACAAGAGCGACGGAATATCCCCAGGCCGCTCCTGGCACGATCGAGACGTACAAACTCTTATCGTCAAGTATATAGACTATCATCGAATGTCCATTCCAATCGAAATTGGAAATAGTCGTCGAATAAAAAGAAACCCGCCCAATCATAAAGAAACAGAACTAAAACCAGAACAACTTTCGTCATTTCTCATATAAATATTTACTCACCAAATACTTTTCTATTTCCAAAGTGAAATATCTGTGTTTGCGATATTTGTTTAATATAAAACATAAATACGTAGACATTTTTTTAATTTTGTGGTTGTAGATTTCATTCCAAATTTGCTAAAATAAATAAAAATACATAACATTTCTTTTACATTTACATTTTTCTGAAATTTATACGCTTTAAGATTATTCATTAAGATTATATCGCTTTTGAAACAAACAACTTCTATCACATTGCCATATTTTTGTGTATCTCAGATCTGAAATTACGTACGGTAGGAAAGAGTTTTGCCTGTCTCTCGTGGGCGCTTATCGTCATATAATTTATAACGTATGACAGGAAGCATGAGAGGAAAAGTCGCGTCTCGACATAATTTATTCGCCGGACGTGGCGGCGATGATCTCAAGAGCTTGTTCGACGTAAGCTCAAACGTAGAAACCGCCAGACGATCGGCTTCGACATATATATCGTAACGTATGCCTTACGCCAGACGGCCTTTAGATCGTCTCGTAGTATATTTTATTCAGCAGAGAACATTTTTGCGGCTGAACACGTTTCTACCGTTTAGAAACGCAAGTCCTGCATGCACGTACCAAAGTACTTATCCCGAAGCTTGCAAAAAGAATCCTTGTGGCATCACGAGAAAAGATACTTGACCAGCCTCCTTTCTACTTCCACGAAATTGGTTTTATAATATTTCAAACAAGAACACGAAAACTATTGAATATTCACCTTTCGGCAAAAATGCAAATTCTCTTACTATGAAATATACATCAGAGAGATAGACTTTTCTTTGATGTCATTTATTCCTCTCTTTCTCTTTTCGTTTTTTCTCTATACAAAATAGTAAAACTGAACTCAGATTCTGATAAACGGTATAGCCTTCGATTATTTAAACATTAAGCAAGTTTTCGGAACACTATTAAATTTCCATTAATTCGATGACAGATTTTACTCCCACGTTTCTTGCACTTTATTAATCCAAAATTAAACATCCTCAGTTGCATACACATATAGGGAACTCCTAACACAAATACTTACATAATAGATTTATTTGGAAATATTCTTTGCAATTCGCGATCTATTCTTTCTAATAAAGAAAAAATGTTGCAAATATTATTTTTAGGGAAACAGAATTAATAATAATATTATTAACAAAATTGTTATCATATTAAGTAAAAAGGAGTGTGCTGAGTAAAAAAAATTTAATAGAAACTATCCTTTTTATTAATTTTTTCCGCTTGTTGATATTTCTACGCTGCATCTGTCAACTTTTAATACCGCAACGATGGCAAACAGCGACAAGGTGTACGTGACATTTCTAAGTATTAAGTAACGTGTGCGACGTGTGTGCGAAATTGTCAGCAAAATCGGTGAAACTGAAGTTACTACATCACTATATACATACCATTACTACCATTCACTTCCTGAAATTCGGCAGTGCTCTCCTACGCTTCCGGCAAGCCATTGAGTTCGTTTTGCGGAGGATTTACGAGTGAAAGGCCATTGTTCTTGGACGCGACAACTTTCAGGAACGGTATCCGATATAAGTCAGCCTAAGGCAATCTGAAAATCCTATCCGGAAAAATTGTGGAGGAAAAGGTACTGATAAGAAACGAATAAAAGTATTTCTTTTTGTTTCAGGAATTTACTTCCCGCAATCGAACCTCGCTTTAAAGCTCCCATATTTGGCTCGACACGACAAGGTCAAATTAATCAGTCTTAGGACTCTTCGGAACGATTCGACTACGCCGCAAAATGTGGAGTACCAGATTCGTATGCCACAGGAACAGTCTGTAATTTACCTTAGGAATTCGAGCGACGTTATGCTACGAAATCTTTCGAAAAATGGTAGAAACATTTTTACTTATTATTTTTTAAGAAAATCTTATTTAATATTACTGTAAAATGGAATAACTTTGGCCCGTCAATCGCGGGATAACTTTAACCCAAATTGTAAAAAATGCCTAAACATGTCCAAATTCAGGATATAAGTAAAAAGTTTTAAAACTTCTTTAAGACATTTTTAGAATGTCTTACGTCTCTATTTTGACATGTGTGATGTTTGGGCATTATTAAAATTTGAGTCAATGTTACTTTTGAGCCTAAATTACTTTATTTTATGATATAGAAAGATAATAAAATATGTAGATAATTTTAGCTAAAATAATTTTTATTTTTTGTGTTGTAAGGCGCACTTAATATCGTTATCAAAGCGACGGAAAAGAATTTTGACGAAGCAGTACTCGAAATAAAAGTGCAACCAGTACCAGTAAAAGGAAAATCAATCAATTGTGCAGATTTCGTACAGGTAAATTCTCGTAATAAACTACTTCCTCCTGAATATTCGCACGAGTGACCCATTTATAATAACTCATTAATCATCGCAGTCGTCATCTGGAATTCATACCATGCGCATAAATAATAAAACTAATCTGGTTAATGAAAGCATTGAATAATAACCCATTCATTATTCGGTGAATATAAAACCGTCACAAGTAGTCGTAAAAATTTGTTTCACTCGATCGTTTTGTGATACAAAAGGATAAACGACCATTAAAATGTCAAAGTATAGTTTATCGGAGATGTTAGTCCACAAAGTTCCTCGTGTTGCAGGACATGTGCTTCTGGAAAACGTCAAGATACAAGATTTACGAGAATCAACCAGTCACCATGATTGGCATGTTCGGCCCAGAGGCATACGACTACGTGTGTCCCGAATTTCGCGTCACCAGATATGAATTATTGAATGGCAAGTATCTTCAGTGACATCTCAATCCTTTCAGTTTCAATCCTTTTAAATCCAATCTCGTATAATTCCATTCGATTACATATGAATAGAAATGATTCAAATTTTAAATATTAATTTATCTACAAATTTTCAACGAATTTCTAACATAAATGATTTTCTAACATAACTGAAATATCCAATATAAAATAAGCTTATGAAGAATTTTTGGAATTTGGAAACTTAATTCTCCTCGCATTTGGGATTTTCATTTTCCTTCGTGTCCTCAATAAATCGTATCGTCGCCCTAGCGATCTTCGTTAAACCGTCAAGTTCATATTTACGAGAGATAAATCTTCCATCAAGGATCGAGCATTTTTCACTGACAAAGCCGGGAAAGCAGCCAAACGGTGATTGATTCGAATCATTCGACCTAAAATACGAATAAATTCTGCCACAATTGTTCGCGACAACAAGCGACGCTCAAAAAGCTGCTGTCGGATTAGACCAAAACTGTCATCATTAAAATTCGCTGAAGACGTCGTCTATATCACAATGACATAATACGTAACGGTAGAAACTTGTGGCCCTCTTTGTATGCGTTGGATCATATATCAAATCCCTGAATCTCTTCGCCGACGATTTAAATTTTATTTTTCAACCGTTGAAACAATAGAAGTGGCTACCGGGAAAATGTTGCAAGCGCCATATTTCAAATGCGACTTTTTGGGAGAGAGTTTAATCTAACAATAGTGAGATATAAACATCAAACTTTTATACAAAACTGCGAAAAAAGTACACCCACATATACAAATATATACACACAAATAACTCATACATTAAAATACTAATTTAAATATTGTGTTAAATAAATTATATAGATATTATTTGTAAATGCATGCATCAGTATTGCATCATTAATAATAACTTTAATCGATTCCAAAATTACGGATATGAAAGTAACGGAATTAAGTAACGTTTATTCATTTTTAAATAATAATTTAATATACTCTACTCACAAAAAAATAGGGAACACTTTATATGGAACACGCTCAAAATTGAGCAATATTCAGAACTCGGTGAAACATTATCGCAGACAAAAAATTGAAAAAGCATTTGAAAGTTTGAAATGCCTACTTTCAAAATCGGTAATTGATATTTCAATCTGAATTCTTTATAGAGATATACGGACACAAATGGATATCCGTCAAATCTGAAAATTTTTTACAAACTTTACGAAGATCTATGACGTGAGTAAAATTCACACAAAAATGCGGTTTACGACAGTTGAAAGAGTGAATCTTTATCTTCAATTTATTTTTTTATTGAGTGCTGTACGGTTTTTCTTCACCGAGTTATTGAACGTTGAATCAAAAATGACCACTTTTGCTTCGACGTTCAATAACTCGGTGAAGAAAAACCATACAGCACTCAATAAAAAAGCAAATTGAAAGTAAAAATTCACTCTTTTAACTGCCGTAAACCACATTTTTGAATTTTACTTCATGCCATATACTTCATGCCATAAACCACATTTGTGAATTTTACTTCATGCCATAGACCTTTATAAAATTTGTACAAAATTTTCAGATTTGACAGTTATGCATTTGCGTCCGTATATCTCCGTAAAGAATCAGATTAAAATATCAATTACCGATTTCGAAAGTAGAGATTTCAAGCTTTCAAATACTTTTTTTGATTTTTTGTCTGCGGTAATTTTTCACCGAGTTACGGTGTTCTTAATATTGCACAATTTTGAGCGTGTTCTAAAGTGTTCCCTATTTTTTGTTGAATAATATATTAAAATGATATATGTATATTAGACCTCTCTCTTTTATATATTATAACAATATTTTAATTAGATTCTTATCTAATAATTTAGCGCTTGCACCATATATTGTTCCTGGAATCTCTTCGATTATGTTAATTTATGCTAACGATGTAGGTGCTTTGCTACCACAGACCACTTTTAAATAACGTTTTCACTATACTACACTTAATATTGGACGTAAAGCATGTCGTTATAGGAACAATAATATAAATTGTACTTTCATCTTTTTCAGGAACAGACTATTTTCACGTAGTCGACGGTAAATTATTTGCGAACGCGTCCTTGGACCGAGATGTTATCGGACCTCCGGGAGGACCCGGACCTCACGTCAAGATCCAGGTGAGATGTGTCGTTTGGGAAGAAAAGACTGGGATGCAGCACGTGCAAACGAATGTCCTCACTATCGATATCCTGGATGAAGACGATAATCCTCCGACGGTGCAAGGCAACACTTCCATTGCTATAACGCTTCAGGAATTCTCCAAGGTAATTTTACAATATCAAAGAGCGAAATCGAACTAATCAAAATCGAATCATACTAACGCTTGCCAAGATCGTTCGAGTAGCTTAGGACCAATTAACTTCCTGGTATTAAGGAAGTCAGATTTATCGTCATCGGAGCATTAGGGCGCCGCTGATCTATATCAAAATCCCTCCCGGTTTAGTTCTAATCTAATTTTATGATCCTGATAATATTCATTTTTTTGTTACCTTTTACTGAAAGAAAATTAAATTGTTATTGAACGAAACTTTAAGCGGCGCCTTTATTTGTAAATAAATATATAAGATGTAAAAATTTAAAAAAGTAGTATAAGATATCTTTTAATTACATTTCTGCAAGGAGATATCATAAAAATATTATTTAAAAATATAAGTAAAAATAGTCGAATAAGGATTTATCTTTTTGCACGAATGACTTTAACTATCCTTATCTTTTTTACTGATATGTTTAACAACCGAGAACATTTTATTTGGCAAATTCAGTGTTTTTCAGTGAACGAATTACGTTTTCTAGCTATGGTGTCATTACGCAAGCTGAAAACGAGACTTAATCAAGCGCTCATTGTTCGTATAATTACTGTGTTGTTTTCAACGCCACATGCATAATAAAAGGGAAACGCCAAATGCGAAGAGTATTACAAAAGATATGCGAGAGTGATGAAGTATACCTACGGCGAGAGAGGAATAGCTTTTGGGATTGATCCTGATTAAACCTCTCTCAGAATGCCTCTCTCCAACTCTTTCCCTTCAAATTCTCGTTTTCCTTCTTTACTCTTCACAGTCTTCGGTAAACATCTTTTTTTCTTTCATTTAGCTGTTACTTTTTATTGTTTATTTCATTTCAATGAAGAAGCAATTGTTTCGTTCAAATACCGAAACACCTGAAAATTTTCTACGAATCTAGTTGAAGACTTTAATGAACGAAGTTCGATCGGTTAATGGAAATCTCAAGTCTTTTCACTAAATATAATAAAAATGTTTTAAACGATTACTAAGAGAAAAGTAATCTGCTATCTATTATTAAAGATTATAAAAAACAATCACGCTAAAAACAGCTTTCTTCACGTGTTTTTTTTTTCTAAATATTATAGAAGTTTAATAAAACCGAAAATTTTCCATTACAATAACTATAATAAATACGAATAAATTTGAAAAAAAAAATTAAATGATGTTTATTTTTATTTATATATAAAACAGGTACAAATTATAGATATTAATAAAGTATATTCAATTAAATTAATTATAATATACACTACCGCTCATTAATTTCCATACACCTCCAGATTTCTTTAAAAAGGTGTTTTGCATATTTGTAAACAATGTGCATGAGTACAAAATATATTTATTTGCCTACACTGTTAAAAAAAAACAGAAATTTGCTTCCGTTATAATGGAAACGTTACATTAAAAATATTTAATGTTGTCAATGAGAATGAAGTTGTAAGTAACTTAAATTTAACATTTACTTACATTAAATTTCATACAAATCTATATAAAATTTAATAAAAAATGTACTAAATTTCGTAAAATTTTATGAAAAGTACACTAAATTTCATGTACATGTACACAAATATACTTTTCAGTTGCAGATACATTAAATTTAATTTAGTATCATAAAATTGAATTTAATTTATGTAATTAAAAAGTACATTAAATTTCACATTGTATATAAATCCATATTCATCACATTTGTAAATAATGTGTATAAGTACAAAACATGTTTATTTGCCTATATAAATCCATATTTATCGCATTTATAAACAATGTGTATGAGTATAAAACATGTTTATTTGCCTATAATATAAATCCATATTTATCATAAACGAGCTTCTTTTCATTACTTTCCGAAAAATCGACGATTTGAGTAGTGTATTAATATACGATATAGTGTACGTATTGACGAATCAGTTTCAAAAAAGTATTGGGCACATATCTGATATCATATGATATCGTGACCTTGCGTGCGTATTTTATTTATTTCCAAAAATCCAATGTTATCCGACTGTTAGTTCTATTTCTTCAAAACTATAATTTTCCAGAATTTTTATATTAATAAACGTAAAGTATATGCAAGCGCTGAAAGTATTTATAACAATAGATGAACTCATTTCTGTGCAAAACACATTACGTTTATCCTTTACAGAGAACTCAATAAATTTGGGGATGTACTGAAATTAATAAACGGTAGTGTAGTATAAAAATCACATTTTAGTGATGTGAAGCATTACGAAAAGAAATTATTTCAATGAAGAAGACTATATTTAGTCGAGGCGAATTTTAGTGCTTAATAATTTTTTGTGTGAATTTTTACAATTTCCAGTTCAAACAAACTGCGCATCTATTATTTATTGATCTTGAAACATATTCTTAGACTGAAGTTGGAGTACGTAATATCGCAGATTAAACCAACAAGTAGTTTAATATTATTGATGTTAATAAATATCTTTAAAACACTGTAAATAATTTATTGCGAAAAATATTACCTTAGGATTTGAACCAGAATCTTCCGAATTCCGTGCGAGCATCTTCTTTATTAATTCCATAAAATATTTATTTCACAGGGTTATCAATTAGTAAACGAGAATTATTTGGTCCTGAGGGACGCGGATGCGGTGACTAGCAATCAGTATAGCATTCGTCTGCTTGATGATACCTCCAAAGCTTTGAACTTCACTTGCAGCATTCTGCCGATCGAACATCACTTGCGTCCGGATGAAGCGCCTTCTACCGGCATTTTTCCCAGTAAGTAACATTCGTTCGAGCACCGTCCTCATTTCGCATTTCATTTCAGTTGATAAATGCCGGCATGTATCTCCTGCGTTTGTAATCGGAAATTCGTTTCATGTATTTTTTAGGTATTATTACAGAGAAGACGTTGCTACCGAAATCACCGTATCGTGTAGTCCTTCAAGTCAAGGATGAGTCGCTTCTCGCAGGATACGGGGCAAATTCGGTGAGTCAGTATCGATTCTACGTCATCAACACTCATTGGCAAGATACTTGAAGTACTTGCTCCATTTGCAATGTGTCAAAGGACAGTGGCAAAGTTAACTTAAGAGCCGATTCCGAGCATGGTAGCATGTGATAGAGTAAAAGCCTAGTTCCTTAACTTTCCCCAATGCACTTTAAAGCTCAGAACACTCCAAAGTGCTTCGCCTCTATAATCTCTCTGATAGTTAGAGACCTAGAAGGGTAGATATTTTATTTTACTTTGCTTGTATTCAAACAGTTAATTTGAAAATCAGATTTTCATAATATCTTTACAGAAATCTAATATTGGTCAATTTATTATTGAAAGACAGTAATTAATTGCTTATTTGAAGTACCAATAGAGCACTGCAAGTGCTTTTAATACTTAAAATAAGTAATTAATTACTGCCTTTCTGTATTAAATTGGCATTCGCATTTCTATAACAGTAACAAGACAAATACTAATATTAACCGAAATTGCAGAAAAGAACAATGTTTACAATTTGCTACGATTCTGCTTCGAAAAAACATTTGTTAAAAATTAACTGATGTATCAGAGAATCAAATCAGAGCTCTTCGTAATGCACTGGCTATTCATTCGAAATGAACGAAGCACATGTGCAACGTGCCGCGTTGGGAATCTATTGTTCGATTAAAAAAGTTCGCACCGATAAATTTCACAATATCGGCAGAGGTCCCCCGATATCTCACCGCCGTATGTCATTTGTAAACGGCATTGGCAAAACTCGAAGCGAAAGTGCACCATACTGATCTCGTAATTCGTGAAGAGCTTGGTTTAATATATGAGAAGACTAAGACGTCCGTGATATCTCATAAGATCTATGATCACTTTACGTGAACCGTGGAACTTTCATCCATGAAAGATTATTTCTATTCATTTACAGCAAGTACAAATCATTCCGATAATCATAACGACTGCTAAAATTTAAGTTTAATTATTACAACGTTTAATTGTTACAATAAAATTGCAATACTAGAATTTGCATGTAATTAAACAACTTTTAATTTAAATTCTCTTATTGTTAGAGATTCCTTTTTAAAGCGCTCTTTTTGAGGTAAAAGTATTTATCAATAATTTCTTAAGACTCGTCCCCACTGAAGGCAATCGGCATAGGGTAAACTCGGATATGATGGTCATAGTCTTTTAAAATGCAAAAATACCTTTATTCTTGTTACTTTTTAACAATTTGGGATATTACTTTCACTGAAGCTTAAAGTCACAAATACTATCGAAATTAAAGAGAAAATACTTAACAGAACTTTAATTTTATCAAAATATTACAAAGTATGCATTGGCCATCTTATCTGATTTTTAGGGAAACGATGGCCATTAAGAAAGATAGCCATAGTATTTATAAATAAATAGTGAAAATAAAAGTATTAATTATAGGTCACATTGCAATTTACGTACCTTTATTGTGTATGTAATGTTGTTTATGGCAGCTTAACTGTAATTTATTAGACATTATAACAGTTTTTAGCAGACACGTGCAAAACTTTGCAGATAGTCGAAAGAAAAAATATTAGATAATATTTATAATATTGTTATTTTGAACAGTGTACTCATATGAACTACTGTAAATATTGATTATCTTTAAGAATAACTATAAAAATGCACTATTTATCAATTATAGGAGAAATTATGGCCATCTTTTCCGTATGGCCATAATACCCTAGTTTACCCTACTAGTTTCTTTCCCTTTTTTAAATAAAAAATAGAAAAAGAAGCCGGTATATTAAACGGCATGATCGGCTTCAGTGGGGAGCCTTTACTTGTTAATTTCGAAACTAAATTAATTCCAACGCATTCTTTCAAAGGCATATTCAATATTTGCATGAATACGAGCGTTCTCTCTTAAATGCAAATTTCCTCTCATTTCTGTCCACTCCCAATCGGCATAAAACGACGTCGATCTAAGCTTGTATCGAGGAAGTCGAAAGATAAGGACTCATTAATGGCCATTAGTCGTATGCCTTGCATCCGTAATCCTCGCTTCGCCGTATAATCGGAGGCCATTAAACAATTAGGTGGTGAAATCTCGCCTTGTTAGAGGTTCCTTGGGGTGCGGCATTGATTTCGTGGAGGCGGCTAATCGTGGATTAAATACCTGCACCATCTGAAATTGGCGTGTGGGTGTAAGTCACTTATTGCTCAGCTTTGTTTCGAATAATATGCGAGTCGTTAACGCGGCTCTCGATGTTTTTCTTGACAAACGAGCGATGGTCTTTCTAGAAATTTTTTTGTCCCCGGAAAAAAAAAACATTCGTTCAATCGAGATAGTCTGACTGACCGCTCGATGTGTTGAAATTCGCAACGAAACTTCCAGAATTGCAACACAAAGCACAATATGCACGAATAAATGCTTTGTCCGCGATTTCCAAATATTTTGTCTATAGTTTTTGTGATGAGAATGCTTAATCATTTAGGTACATCTTGCAGAATTTGTAGTTAATTCACACAATTAAGTTAAATATCTAATAAAAAAAGTTTAAATCTTGATGAATTTAAAATTGCTAAAGATTTTTTCTAATTTTCTAACATAATAGATTTAATTGCAAAATTATTTAATATACAAGTTAAATGTATTACGTTGAAAAATAAGATTTTAGTTTTGATAGAATAATGACAGATTTATAAATATCTCGATAGAAATATATGTAACGCTAAATAACCATATTGAGAGAAAATTGTATTCATTTTTTTACTACAAATCGACGGATGTATCAAGAAATCTTTAAATGCCACTCGCACAATAGTGGCACACGTGTGGAACATATGTCACCCTGATATGTAATTGAAAAGAGGATAACGATTGTAGAATGGTATGCGAAAGCGATAATAATCGGATGGTATTCGTTCTAATTCGAGCCGTGCTCATCGTGCACCTTTAATGGATACCCTATATCATTCGCGCCGCGCACGACTAGCTGCTTAAATTGAAACCACGCGAGAAAATAAATCTTGACGCCGATATCCAAGCGACCTCAGCGACCTGCTCTTGATATATATCCCGTGACCCTTAAATCAGGCCGTGTCTGAAGTATCGACGATCCTCTTGGGTAATCATGTCTTTTCTCGCGAAACGCGATATCTTAACATTTTCGTAGCTGAATGTTGATCTTCAGCCATAGAAACACACCCTTCAAATTACTCTCATTATAAACATGCGTTGGAAATTATTCGATTTTCTCTTTAGCTTTATTTCTTTTTAAATAAAGAATTAAAATATGTTTCTTAATGTTTTAAAATTTATACATATAACACATAAAAATTTATACATATAATTATATAATAATTTAATATTGAAAGAATTTTTTATGGGAAAAATTAAGAAACATAATGGCACTATTGAATTATTAAAAAATTGCAATAAGGATCTGTTCGCAATTCCTACGCGTTAAAGAAAAGATTACGCGTTAAAAAAAAAGTACGCCTTTAAGTGCCAAGGAGGATTTTCCCACTATAACCGTTCCATGAGTATACCAAGAAATGGACGATAAATTCTAATAAAGAACGTCACGTAGCAATCGCACCTGCGGTGGTCTTTAATATCGATTTTTTGCGGTAAGGTATCCTTTGAATCTCTTTCGAGATCCTTTCTAGTCGTGACGAGAATTGTCCTAATCTAATTTCATGTAACAATCCATTACACACCCTAGATGTAATAAAAAAATCTATTTTTTAAATAATTACAATTTATAATATTGTAAAAAAAAATAATTTAATCAGCATTTAAAAAATAATAAATGTTATGTGTGTGAAAAAGTAATATATTAAAAAATTATATACATGAAAAGTTACATTGATAAAAATAACATGAGAAATTTATTTAGAGCAATTGAAAGAAATAATATTTCCTCTCGTCTTTTTTTTTTAGATTCTGTGAAAGCGAGTTAATGCTTCTCATATCATTAATTGTTATGTAAGCTTCTATTACAAGAAAAGCTTCCAATTATACGAATATTCTTACATGATTAAAAAAATATTTAAAGGATTATACTCGTAGCATCGATTATACTAATAGCTTATTATTAGATTAGATTATACTAATATCGATTAGGTTTTTCACATGAATTTAAGTGGGATGATATAAAAATACTTGATGAAGAAATGATTTTAAATAAAAGACTTATATCAGAAATGATTCATATACGTGGACAAAAAAACAGTTTGAATTTGCAAACGGACACGGAATGTTTAAATTCAGCATATGATTGTTTATTTACAAAAATTTAGTTTTCAATCTTTCCATTGTGTTCTAATTGTCGGTCATTTGATGAGATGATGAGTATCAATATGTAAGATAGGACATTCGCTTGTTGACTGGCAACATGACAAGTAACGTTGTAATCTTATAGAACTAACAATGTATCATGTAAGTAAAATATTAAGTGTTTTAAGTTAAAATCTATTTAATAAGTAAGAATTGATTGTTAAATTCACACACACATATGACTATGTAGTGTTCTATCACGGAGAGAATTTTCTTTTAAAATTTACCCTGAAAATATGGTGATTGTGGTATAATACAATATTTTAAAGATTTTTACCATGCACTTCAGTAAAATTGATCAAACTTATTTTATACTTTATTGTAGTTTCATTAATGAATGAGAGAGATTTATATTAAAATTCTTCGAAATACAATGTTGTCCCACGATTGTCATATTTTCAGGGTAAATTCTAAGAAAAAATTCTCTCCGTGAGGGAGTTCAATGATGTAGATAGTAGTTAGTTTATATTAAAAAGGATCCGAACCAAGGATCGAAACGAATTGAAGATTATAATAAAGAATTTATTTACACAATTACGTCTGGTGTATAGACTCGAATAGGCACTAAACATATTTTGGATTTATACTAATAGCATTATAAAACCTTATTTGATAAAAATTAATAAATAAGTCAATTTAAATAGAAATATTAATAAAAAGTACAAATTGTTATACACAAATGAAAATAATAATAATAATAATGGCCACTACATAATTTTTCTTCTTTTAAAATTTTATTTGGACAGGATCAATAATTCATACTTTCTTTTATTTAGGTAAATATCAGCATAACTTTGTCGGGGCCGGTACACCAAGCTTTAACAACTCCAACGCCGTCAACTGTTGCGACGTTCTCGTATCCGACGAATGCGAAGATAGCCCGGATTTCACCCAGATATCTACGCGTAGCGAAACCCACCACGAAGCCGCATCCTTCGATAACTTTCGTCCTGAACGGCTCGGGTGCTTTCAACGTCACTCAACGGGAGGGTATCATTTACGTATCGGATGAAACTAAGCTACGATCCGAGTCCAACACTGTTCAGTAAGTCTAACCGTTTCTTGTAAATAACTTAACATGCAAGAGTGAACTATTTCCAATAGTCAGATTAGCCATTTCTAGATATGAAGAGCAAAATATTATTTGCGTTATTCCCGCAAATACTTCTATAGAACTTCTATAAGCAGTTACAACACTTTCTGTCGGTCGATTTCTTATAAATATCTGAACTAAAGGTATTTATATCTTTCAGATACTTTTATTAAAAAAGATCAATAAAATAAAACTTTAATAGTATACTTTATATTATATTCTTATCGCCTTGTAATTAAGAATATACTTACTGTCAGAATTTTTTAATTGATTTAACTGAACATTGAAAATTTATAAGCGCGTAAAATAACGAGGCCATTGGTGCAAGAAGATTTTCGTCTCTCAATCATGCCAGGTCGATGAGTATCGATATTTCGTTCGTTCAGAGCGAACCTTCTTGTCGCATGAGCATAATACAAAATATCGGTGTGTTCACCAGACTAAAATTAAGATGGATCGGAGCAGATGGTTACGCGACGACCAAAACGCTACGAGTGAATCTGATCGATGTACCACAATCGAAGAACGACACGTGTGGACAATCAGCTCTAGAGAAAATGCACACATGCGCGAATGCGGAAACGCGCGAGGAATGTGAAAAATCTTGTGGAATCGGCAGCGGAGGCTTGAGGTGTGTACCATCTATTTTTCTTCAGACTGAATGGGTCTCTTTGAGCAACCGTAATTCTTTCAAACAATAAGTAGGTACTACAAGAATTTTTAATAGGAATTTTGTTTATAAAACTCAATATCGCGATTAAAGTAATTTATAATTTTCATTTATAAATATTATAATTAATATTAATAATTTTGATAATAGTCAATAAATATATAATCAATATTAAAATAATTAAATATTGATTATATGTGAACAATTAGTAGAGCCTATAATGTTAATTATTATTCGGATTATAATTGATTTCAATTGTTTGTAACTCGAAGATTATCACGTTTGCAAAACTTTTTGTTGAGCAGTTTTTCTTTTATATATAGTAACTTTCTCTTTAATTTCCAAGCGGTGTAAATTCATCATTAGTGAGTTTAACAGCAGAAGCGCATTCCACAGAGTGCTTGCGTTTCATGTTGCATATCTTACTTTATAATTACACCTCTGCACTGGAAAATACTGCATAATGCAACTTGCTCCTATGTATCAAGAATTTTGAAAATACTCTTGTTCAAATCTTCATTTAAAAAAATCTTAAATGAGATCTACATTGCTTGAGAAAAAAATGCGAAAGCATTTAAGTTATTATAGACTAATAAATTTCTAAATAATAGATTTCTAAACAAAAGCTATAATGAAAAATACTCTTGATCGATGACGATCCTTTATACAAAGCAAATTTATTTTATATCGAACCCGCATTGTGTCTCGGAATTGACGGTGATTTTCTATAATAAAATAAATGGATCATTACTTTCGTTCTTTTCTCCGGAAAAACCTCACATCGCCACGAGGAACAATTTTATCGTAACGACTATTTCGGATGGTAGTGCGTCCAGGTTAATGGCTCCTCCATCAAATTCCTGATTCGCTCTCTATGCCCCTCTTGACAATTATCGTTTTCTGATATGATAAGGTAAAAGATGTTAATCGACGATTTTTTCGATCCTTTCTTTCTTCTTTTTTGTTAAAAATAACAATTATAATTTTTTTTCACATTTCAATTTATTCCCTGCATTTAAAAAATGCCAATTGTTTAGTATAATTTTGAAAGAAATGTTTGCTATTTTAAAAAATGATTAAAATATTATCCCACGTCATTTAATCCAGTACTACAATTTTTATCTGTTTATATTTTATATACGATTTTTTTTCTTAATTATAGTTTTCATTACCAAATTAGATTCATATATGTAACTTTTCTGAAAATAAAAATACTTTTTAATGAAATATTAATTGAATTTATTTTAAGAGGTTAAATTTATGATAAATATATATATATATATTTTATCATAAATTTATGATTGAAAATTAATTTCTTAAAATCGTTTTCTTATCGTTTAATACAGTATGATTTGTATAATGGAAGCTATTCTTAATGATTCTGAAAAAATAACTGTAATACTTTATATGAATCTCTTTCTGTATGACTCTATTATAATTAAAAGAGCTTTAATAATGAATTTATGCGCAGCAAAGGTAATTTTACCGATCGATGCGTTTGGAGGAATGGCAACGCTACACAAATGTCGAAATATTATTCCACTTGTTCTCCGAATTTGTCGTATTGCCCGAACAACGAATGCGACGAACTGGAATTCACCGTTCCACACATATGTCCGCAAGACTGCATCTCTGAATGTGAGTTGCATGTATTGTTTTGTCGATCGGATTAGTGCAGTAAAGCCGGCCGCGTAAAAATGTCACAGTATCGATGTGAGGAATCACTTTCATCATAGTATTGTGAAAAATATGTAAATAATCGAATAATAAATTATTTAAGAAGAAAAAAGAGAAAATTTCTTTCTAAAATGTTCTTAAAATTCAGAATCTCTAAATTTCTAAATGTTTCTAAAATTAAAGATTTTGGATATCTTATGTAAAAAAAATCCAAATATATAGAATCGTGTTTTAAATCTTCCGTCTTGATACGGTTTGCTTTCGGTTCCTTTCGTTCGAAAGCCTTCTATATAAAAGGATTTCGCGTTGTCGCAGTTACGTCTCGTTCAAAGAGCTTAAGAGCCATTGAAAAAGGATTACTATACTCGTCCCCGAGAGGCACTCGATCGATCTAAAAGTGATTGTATTCGCGTTTTTAGCTGACGGTCTTCTCGCTCATATGGACAGCAACGAACGCGGCATAAAGAGAGGCTTGAATACCTGCACCTGCAACGATCTACTGATATGCACCTGCGGAGGCTCCATTTTACAACAAGGAAATGACGTGCCTGGAACAACAAAGGAGGAACGACTTGGCACCGGAAAATTACGTAATCGGGGAAACGAGGTTGTCGTGTCGGATGCACGCAAAGGTCAGTCATCGCATCTTTCGCTATTTTTTTTCCATAGAAATTATATGCCGGACAATATTAAGTTACAGAGAAGAGTCATTGATAGCCTAAGAATATTTGTTACAATAGGAGCATTGAGTTTCGAAATTAAAAACCACAAAATATTTTATTCAAATATTCCACATTAAACACTGCACTTCCCTTAGGAAAAAATGTTTCAGTATACTGATTAACTATTCAGTAACTGATGATATTTCATCAGTTACTGGTGAAATATTATCAGTTAATCAGTATATTGAAACACTTTTTCTTAAAGGTTAGAACGCTTTTGGTTGAAAAAAATAAATTTATGTGATCTTTCCTCTTAATATCGCAATTTTATATCAAAAAGTTTATTTCATACTTTATCAAATAGTATGTATTAACCTTTGTCCTTTACGCTTCTGCAGCGTCCAGCGGACCGTGCGGCCCCACGTGTATGATGGGTGTTATTGCAGCTAGTCTGTTTGTGTTGATCGTGATTGTGGGATCATTTGTTACGTGGAGATATAGGTAAGAAGCCAAACAATTAATTATATAAAATGACAAAATTATTTATTAATATGATTTTAAAAATACAACATTATAAATAATTTTTGATATAATTTTTTCTTAGCACACAATTTTTAACAAGGTCCTTCTTGCACAAACAAATATTATACAAATATTATAATTTGCTTTTATATGTATTATATATGTATTTGATTTATCATTTATTGGTAGGTAAAAATTTTAAAGTCATAAAATTAATTTTAAGAAATATTAAAATTTGCTTGGAAAAATCTAATATTGTTAAGCTATACTTAAGGTAGAACATGACAATGTCTTATTAAAAGTCTTTTCGTTCGCACGGATCTTAAAAGGATTTAGTGAATCGCTTCTAGACTAGTGGCTTCCATAGAGCTTATCAACTTGAATCTTATGTTTACAAGGAATTAAGGGCATTACAAAGCTTATAGTAACCGGGATTTGAACGTGGTTCATTTAATCTCGGTCTTTCTAGGAGGTTATAATTCATAAATATAAAACAAAGATGTGAAATTGTGAAGATTAATGTATATTTATTAACACCGAAACAAAATGTCAAAGTATTATTCTTAAAAGTAACACGCAGATAGCACGAGTTTAGGTAATCCATAAAATCTTTGTTATCTGCAAGATAAATTCACTGTATTAATTTCGTTTAAAATTTCTGCGATTTAATTGCAATTGTATATTTCTTTGTGTTATATATAACAAGAAGTATTTTTTATGTTTTATAACTTCTTGACATTTATCAAAAAATTTATTGCGGAAATACAAATCGAGAGGATTTTCACAAGAAGAAAGAATATATTTGTTTAACTCGTTCAGATAAGGTCGAACTTGAAAGTTTCTCGCAAAGAGCGGAATTGAGAAAGTTTCAATGATATGTACGTGCAATGGCACTTTTTTTTACGTTCGCAGCTTGCAATCGGTTACCTTCACCGTCATTCCTTTTGTGAATTTTAAATAAATTTGATTTGGTTATTTTATGTCAGTACGTGTTTTTCATCATTTTTTCTCGAAAATTTTGAACTAGAAGAAAATTAAACTAAATGTGTTCGAAAATTTGACGTCCAATTTTTTTACTAAAGTAAATTTGTATTAAATTTGCGAGAGGTATTACGAACGCTGGCATACTTTGTATATGTAATTTAAACTCACAAGCCTGCATGCTATCTAAACTTTCGAATTTGGGTCAATGTCTACTAGAATTTCTCTCTCAGGCTAACTAGTGACCACAATAGACCAACTTTTACTAAGCTGCATTAATATATCTTTAAATGATTGAATTGAAACAAAGGTAGAAAAATTGAGCGTAGAGATGTAAAATCACCGTTAAATTCAATTTGACAATTACTTACGATAAAATTACGGTAAAATGGTAATTTATTGGTAATTTTGATAAAATTTGTTGTTTTTTTATAGTTTTATGCATAAATAGGTTTTATTTATGTTTTTCACATTAATGCGTAATATAAACCAATATTCTTCTAATATTCTCATCGAGAATATAAAAATCGCTGATAGAATATATTAATAAGATTATTCACTAAATCTAAACGTAAAATCTAAGCAATGCTAAAATCTGTTTTCAACATATAGTTCCCTAGAGATTTGATAAAGTCACAAAAAAATAAAAAGCGATGCAGATTAAAAATTTCAACTTTTTTTACATAATTCCTTGTTTTATATTTTAAAATTTAGCTTTTTACTGAATTACTTAATATTATTCTATATTTTTATTTAAATATTCCGGCAGTAGTGCAATTACAGAAAGATTATTTTATTGTTGATGTATAATTGTGTCTTTGTTTTTAGTCTAATAAAAACTGTCTTTAACAGTCTAGTCGCTAAAATAGCAAACAAATAAATAAAAGTTTTATAAGTTTAATTGTAAAGTAAAAAATATAAAAATACAAATTTAAAAAATTAAAATATGTACAAAATAATTCAAGATTACTGTACTTGTTACATTTTTTTCAGAATCTTAATAAAAAAAACTTATTTAAAGTTCCTTTAGTTTAGACTATATATAGACTTCCTTATGTGTGTGTGTTTAGACTAGTCTTTTAATTCTCATATATTCAATATATAATAATTAACGGAAATAATATTACATATTAATATTATATATTAGTATACAATATATTTTACTGTATATCAATATGTAATATCGAAATAAAAATATAAGTTAAATAAAGAGTTTTTAAATTAATAACTAAAGGCTAAATGTTTTTATATCAAATTATTTTAATTTTATAATTTTTTAACATTATCGTTTTATAACATTATCATTTTCTCCAAAAATTACTGACTATTTTACCGAGTAAATTACCGTCAAATTTTCATCTCTAATGAAACGTACTTTATTTTGTGGTAAAATATTTATTATAATATTTTTTAAATTGTTTTTTATTAAAAAAACATCAATTTTATATTTAAATATGCGATTATATTATAATTAACAATTACTTGCGTATATAAGTGTAAAATAATTTCCAGTGTCATAATTGATAATAATAAAGTTAGCTCAACTCCAATTATCCTATTTCACTCCACAAACCAAAATAGCTTCATAAACCAACATAGCTCGTCTTCTGCATCGCGATGCTCTGCGTTCCAGAATGGCGGCGAAGGGTGCTCGACGGGAATGCAAACACAGGGTGGATGATGCAGCAAATGGTATTGGTATTTTGCCGTCCGACTACATCGATCGCGGCGATGGTCTCCTGATCGGTCTGGACACGTTCGCGGCGGCGAATCGTCATCTATTGTTACCTAAGACATGCCCGGTAAGAAATCTTTTAACTCATTCAAAATATTTACCGATATTATCCACTAGAAATAGAAGATTTACAATTAGCATAAGAATGACATATAAATTATATGGGCTTATTAAATTTTTGCATTGAAAAATTTTTAATTAAAATTTATATAATTTTATAAGATTTCTGTGTCTCATAAAATCTCTATTCCATGTCATAAAAAATACTTGCGTTTATAAAGAAAATATTAAATAATGTGTGTGTGTGTGTGTGTGTGTGTGTTTATAAAGGCACGACGATTGGTATAAAATACATACTTTTATGTTTACAATAGTAACTATTGAGTTCAAATTATAATAAATCCTAATTATATTCTGATCCTGGATATATATTACTTGAATAGACGTTATCTAAGATATAAAGTCTGCAAAGTTGCGGAAACTTTCTTATTACTTTAACCACGGTAGTGTTATCTAGCCACGGCAGACTTCCCAGCAAATGATAAAAAGATAAAAAGGCATTCTTTAACAATTCTTAAATAAAATTATTCTTTAACAATTCTTAAATAAAATTATTCTAGTAATAAAATTATTCCGTAAGCCGCTTCCATCTAAATTATCACGTCTTTAAGTTAATGAATTAATTCTGCAATTTGGTTTGCAAATAAGATTTCGGACATAATTCAATGAGCGTTTGTTATTAAAAAGGGAATTATATAGTTTAACATTAAATTTCATTTTTCAATTAATATATATCTTCAATATTTTATTAATACAAAAGTTTTTCACTTTTCTACAAGTTTGTTTTCAAGATATACATTTGTATTGCGCTTGAAAAAGAAAGTGCTAAAAATTAAACGGACCGAACGAATTAAATATGTAGATACCGTTAAATTCTTTTTCACATATGAATTCAAGAGAAGAAGCTTCTATCTTTCATTTCTTTTATTCATTTTTTCTAGTCATGTATACATATAATAAATAAAATAGTTCGTTCGATATTTGTGCGAGTAAAGCGATCATACAGCTTAATCTTTACCAAAGAGCTTTGCGTGACGAAAAATTTTTCCACTGAAAAATAAATTTCTCATTTTATTTATTTGTTTCTTTAATAAATTTTCTTCTCGCGAGAGAAAAATCGTAAAAATTGCCCTTTTCACAGCTGTGTCTGCGACTGCACAACACGATCCGCAGACTTCTCCGTGCAGTTGCCTTCCGCACGTGGTACGCTGTACGTGCGTGCTCGCGTGTAGCGTGCATTCTCGTAATCCTGCAAGCAGCGTGCTAAAGCGCGTAAGCTCTTTTAGCTTTCCGCACGGAGAAGCGCGAGACTTCTAGAGGGTTGGTTCTCGGAATTTGAAACGCGTCTCAGAAACTCGGTCAAGCTTCGTAGTCTTTAAATTCGTCCAAGATATTTGTTCAGTAATGGCGTTGTTCGTGCTTGATCGCTTATCTCTTAGAATCACGTTAAATCGCGGAAGACGCATTTCCCCAAAATAGATGCTGCGTATTCTTGAGAGAATTAATTTTATTGGATCCTCTTGGAAAGATATAATGCTCCAGCTGACTACTGATGAGGGAATACTGATGAGAGAAATCGAGGTTGCTTCAATTTAAGGTTTCATCTAAAATTTTGAAGAAAATCTTCTAAGAGCCTTGGGCATCTTTCAGGATATAATACTTTGCGAATTTTGCAAATTATATCATGGAATCATGTCAGGGGATCATATGGAAGATGAGATTCAATTACATTTTATTATTTCTCGGAAATAAAAGCCGATAGTTTTTCATTTTTATCGTTTTTCTCACCGTTGCTTTTGTGTGTCCTGGGCGATCGCGTGTTCCATTGCATGCTTCTTGCCCTGCAATCGTGGATACCGTCCTTGGCACGTAGAAACCTGTAATTTACTTTGAATGCATAGGAATCTTAACTAGTCTGCACTCACTCCTCAGTTACAAAAACTTTTTAGCACCACTCGTATTTGCTCCGAGAGTTACACCGAAATTAAAGTTCGATTCGGCGTTTCCCGCATCTGGGAACAATTTCTAAAACCGTTTGTCGTAATTAACAACACTTGAGATTATGAGGGTCGCCGGATTTTTTTACAGAAGACCATCAAGATCTTCTTGAAATACAAAGTATTTTACTGCAAGCGAATTCTTCTTTCATAAAAAAGATCTGGTTAATAAAAACTTTTTAACTGAATTCTTTCTTTTTCTCTTTAAAACGGAATGCGAATTCGTTACGTTGTATTTTCTGCAAATACCACAAAAGCTGATAATATGCAAACAAAGAAATGCAAAACATATATTTCTCGTAAAATAATAGAATTTAATAAAATATACATCTTATATATATAATTAAATTAATTATTTTTCTGCAATTTCACATTTTAAATTAATGAAGTAATATTTATTATATAATCTTTTTTCTGTTCTTTTTTTTAAATAAAAAAGACAAAGAGATAATTTCCGTTGCTTGAAGCATTCACAATTGAATGAAAGAACGATAAAAATATCGATGAAAAAAAGACAAGTGAAGCCGCGAAATGTCGGTGGAAAGAATTCACGATATTTCTATTCTTTGCAAGGCGTTCTTGAAACGACACTAGCGAGATAAAGTCACTTTTATTCAATAAAGACGAAACGAAGTCGGATCGGCTCTAACATGGCGTATGCAGCTCAGTGAACAGTGGGTTTGCGGGGTAAACCTTTTTTGACACACACGCGAATTCATAGAGAGAGCACTTTTACGTCATACAAATTTCGTTATCAGTCTTTAGAATAAAATGATTTTATAATTAGACTTTGATCAAGGAGTAAATTAATTAATCTGCTTCAGTTAATTCCCTCATCTAAAATAGACACTACGCAGCTTTATCCGCTAAACTTGCTCACTCACAGTATAGCCTAATCATATTTAGTTTTTTGTTTACAACAGATGTGATTTTCTCAACAATCTTACTTAAAAATTGCTAAATTGAAAAAATCGAAACTAAAACCATATTATTTTACAGCAATAAGCTCTCTATGAGTTTTCATCACTTTAGTAAAAAATAATACTAGTCCTTTTAGAAGAAAATTCTTCGGAGATGTCAAGAACAACGTGATAATATCATTTGAAATACCACGGAATTGGCGCGTTACAAAATTTACACATCAAAAGTACATTGGGTTTCTTTCCTAAAATAGTCCTACATGTCGCATTACCAGAAGAAATCTATTGAGCTTGATTCTTTGCAATACAAAACAGAATGCAAAAAGTGTCCATTTCTTCATATTTTCTAAATACAATCTTCGTTCACAAATAATTAAGACTAATTTCTATAATTGGTAGATATGGGAATCATGTCTCATTCGGGATCTTGTAACAAAATTCTCAATGGATAATATATACGCAGATACTAATTTAAAGTAACTATTAATTCGTGGAGATATTTCTTATTAACTGTAATACGTGATCCTATTATCATTCTTGACTCGTCGTTTAATTGGGTAACCACTCGCATCCTTTGCAAAGCAATTCGTGCGAAGTAATGCCGAACAGATATCGCGTCTGACACGAACCTGGAAACACGTTCCAGCGAGGCGTAACGCTGGATTAGAGAGAGTAAAGCTCTTATCGTAACAAGCTCGAAAGGATTTATTAATCGGTACATGCATTCTCCATCTTCGTGTTCAGGATTTCTCAAATTGTATTACACGTGTTGCAAAGAAAACAATTAAAATAAGAGTAATTGAAATGAGATAATAAATTAGCATCACATATATTAATGAAAATAGGTCAAGCTTACACTAAAAAAAAAATAATTTTAATATTAGTAGAAACCGCTAAATCTTAAAGGATTTTATTCTTATATACGGCCTCAAGAGGAATCTTCTGAAATTAAGAGAAAAATATGCTAAGCACAATATTCTTACAGTTAGAGTACTTTCGTTTTGCATCTCTGCAGTAAAAATCTTGCTGTTCCTAATATAATTTACTCGTAAGAGGGCACTCCGGTTTCAGTAAATATATTCCTCTTCATACAAGAGGAAAATTGTTAGAATAATCTCCAATACATTTTTGATGAATAGTCCAGTGGATTGGAAGAGGAATACTCTTTCTGTAAAAATTTCTGCTTAGATTATGAGATTACCGGAAATTTCACTTTACAATTAGATTATCTTTTTTTGGGTGTACAAAACATAAATGTCGAAATGTTAGCTTAATAATGATTAAAAGTTTCTTTATGACTTCAAGAAGAGAATTTGAAGTTTTTATCTGTTTATCTCTTTCTCGAACATGCGGTAAAATATAAAATTGTTTACAAACGTATCTAACGTCCGAATTTTTGCGTGGAATTTCAGCCGGATCCAAAATGGGAATTTCCTCGGTCGCTTCTGAAGATCGAACAGGTGTTGGGCGAGGGTGAATTCGGGCGCGTTTTGCGCGCTAAAGCTATGAACATCGGCGGAATTCCTGGTCCCACGACTGTCGCGGTGAAGACTCTGAAGGAAGACGCGTGTACCTCCGAACTAGCAGATCTGCTGTCCGAGTATCAGCTTCTGAAGGAGGCGCAACATCCGAACGTGATTCGGTTATTAGGTGCTTGCACGACACCACCAGGCGCGCCTGTCTACCTCATCATCGAATTCGCTGAATTCGGTTCTTTACGGTAAGTGCGCGCCGTGATATATTCGACCGCCGCTGTCCTGACGCTATTTATGATCTCTCCGTTTCATGAGCTTCTGGTCTTATCGATAAAAGTCCTGCTGGTTGGAAACGGATTGACGCAATTCGTGCGTCTTGCTTCGAAATTGAATTTAACTCACGTACAGATAACTTTATCTTTCATTGTGTGATGAATAACACGCAATTTTCCAAGATTAAATTAGAAATTGTATATTTATGCTGTTTGATTTTATATTTTTGTCATTTGCAAATTTTTTATTTTAAAAATGTAATAAATATATGACTAAATAAATATAAATATTTGACTATATAAATATAAATATAAATATATGACTATATAATTAATATATATGACTATATAACTTATATATGACTATATATATGACTATATAACTTATATATGACTATATATGACAAATATATTAATAAATATATGATTATATAATTTACATCAAGTATTATAAATATAAAAAGTGTACAATGAGGACCAAAAATGAGCTTGTACGTTGATGTAGATGAGCGCGTCGCCTGCAGTATGATGTATTACACCGAAGTACAAGCTCATTTTTGCTCCTCATTGTACATCCTCTATATTTATAATACTTTATGTAAATTATATATAGTCATATATTTATTATATTTTTAAAGAATAACAATAATCAAAATTTAATGGAATTAAAGACTCCTTGTGTTAAACATAAAATTAAAATATTAATCAAGTACAATATTAATGGCTATACAGAGTCAAACGTTGTTATCAGTGCGTAAATTATGTACAAATATATCTTTGATACAGAAAATTAGAACGTTTCGGTCCCATTGTTTGGACCATCATCATTTCTTGTGACGTGTTGCTTGGATTCTATTTTGTTACAAATTTCACAGATATACTTCCAAAGTTTAAGATTAATCATGTCATACCTTCACTCCAACAAGTGATGGCCTTACCTCTGTTGGCACATGAGAGGACATAATATATATTAATATTATTGTGTTTTAACAATATTCTCTCCATTAAGTAGCTTTTTTGTATATTTTTTTATATTATCGCTGATGATGGTCCAAACAATGGGACTGAAATGTTCGAATTTTCTGCATCAAAGATATATTTGTACATAATTTACGCACCGATAACAGCGTTTGACCCTGTATAGCTATTAATATGTATTTAATCAAGTACTTGATTAATATTTTAATTTTATATTTTTAAAATAAAAAATTCTCAAATGACAAAAAAATCATGAATCTTCGAGATTTTAATATTGTCTTAAAAATTAGGTAATGTAGATACAATTTTTTTGTATCATGTATACTGAAGTTTATGTTTTGGATTGAGCGAGGAAAGTTCTATCTTTTGGCCCCCCATTTTTCATATCACTTATTTGAATTTTTTCTTTTCTGGGGATATATCATATAGTTTTCTCTATTAAGATGCTTAAACGTAAATGCTTTACGCAACTGAATTGTTAATTATGATGTCGCCATTGGCATAATTAACGACACAATGCACTTGGCGTGAAGTATAGAATACTGATATCTTGCCACAACCAGTGAGAAATAAAAACAAACACATACATATTTTTAACTCCTTTATTGTAAAGAACTAAAAAGATTTCTTACAAAAAATTATCAAACTTCCATGTGTTATCAAACTAAACTCCCACATGAGTATCTTTGAGAGTTTACTAATACGGAAGTTTGATAATTTTTTGTAAGAAACTTTTTCAATTGTTCTTTCCAATAAAAATGTTAGAAATATGTACGTGTTTTCTCTTTTATTTCTCATCATTTTAAAATGAAGATTAATGTTCGTGTATATCCTAATATAATAAATATATTTTAAAAAATCTAGCAAAGAGAGAGAGGACTTAGATAAATGTACGTATTATTCCAGAAAGCTAAAAAGAAAATTTTCCCTTTGTTAAATGTAAAGAGATGAATAAATAGCACGCGGATATTAATGGTTGGTATTCGTCTGGTATTTTCATTGTCTCGTATAGTCGAGTGATAACATCAAAAGTCGAGCAGTTTTGTCTTCTATTTATGCCAACAATAGTTCTATATATATATATATATATATATATATATA